ATACCAGTTGCATTGTCAAAACCTTCAACTGTGACAGTTAGAGTGATTTCATACAGGCCAACGTCAAGCGAACCTGGCATTAGCTGCAATTGTGGGCCATTCACAGACGGCACATCGTACATCACTCTCTGCGTTATGTTCTGAACGTCATCGAGGATGAGTTTATAGACTTCCCAGGTGAAGGTTGTTAAGCCAACACCAATACAATCAACTGTGGTGACTGAGTCGATGAGGATAGTTTCTGACGTCCTGTGAGACTGCGGTGCATCTATCGTCTCCCCCGGACCCTTGATGGACACATCAGGTGGATTCCAGCATCCCATGACGGTGATTTCACTTGACATGGATGCAGTAGTGAAGAAGTTAGATACAGACACATTGACAGTATAATAACCCGGAGATGTGTAGGTGTGTGAGACCTGTAGACCATCGTCTTGATTTGATTGGACAAAGATGATGTCATTGTGCAGTGTCATTCCACAAGACTCTGGCCCATAGACAGTTTGTTGAGTCTGATCCCCAACATCCCATGATATGCACATTGGACCTTCTAAACCATTCCCATTCAATATGAAATCCACCTGTTGGCCTGACTTCAAAACTGACAGTCCTGATTCATCCATGGCCTGAATTGACGTCAGTTCAAATGGCTGGACAATGTAAAAAATGAAGTGCAATGCTACAGGCTCATCTGTGTGGCCTTCAACTTTTAGTGTGATGTTGTACACACCGGGGGTTTCATATCGACGGAATACAATGTCAAGTGGAGCTGTTTCCCCGTTACCAAAATCCCAGATGATAGTCGCATCCTTAGAAGTTACGTTAGCACTCATTCTGATTACTGAATCACTAGCAAACCAATTAAAGTCATGTCCTAAACCAGCTGTCCAAATGCCATCTGTGTTTTGGTATTCAAATCTGACTTGTATAGGTGCAGCTTCTTCGTTGATAATGACACTTGTCTCAAACATGTGAGAGTCAAGATTGTTGGTGACAGTTACCTCAGCGTGGTAAGTTCCTGAATTGTTATAAGAGTGAGTATGATTGATGCCTTGGGTCATATTGAACTGTACTGTCTCATAGTGAACACTTCCATCTCCAAAGTTCCACGCAAGGTTGACTGTAGTTGGAGGGGTGGTACCTTGCATCGTGACCAGTTGAAATGTCACCATAAGATCGGGAAATGTCCTTGGGCTATTGGACAATAACTGAAATCCACGAGTGCTGTGCAGTACCTCAATACTGGCATTGGAAGTGGCATGAGACTCTCCCAAGATATTCCCAGCAGTTACAGAAGGAGTAAACAGTCCAGGTTGAGTGTATGCATGCTGGAATTCTTGGATCTTTGTGCTTGTTGACATTACAACATATCTTGTTTCTGTCGTACCATCACCGTATTGTACAGCATAATTCAGCAGTGAGCCCTGAGAGGCAGTGACAGTAATCAACACTTGAGATCCAACCTCAGCAACCAAACTATCCAGGAAGATCTTCAAATGTGCAACATCCTCATAAATGGTAATCAATTTCTCCAGGGTAAGACCGCCCAGAATATTCTTGCACTGCAAGCTGACGACAAACTGACCACCAGGGAAATAATGAGTCACATTCAGACTCTCACCAGAATCAAGGCTTACATTCTTCTCTCTCCACAGTACATCAGGGCCAAGGCCTGGTGTAGTGGGTTTTTTCCGCCAAACACATTCCATGACAGTGGGTGGCGGTACCTCCTGATCGATGGTCAAACTGAACGTGATGTTTCCAGGACTGTAGATCACCTCACTAGTGGTTTCAAAGTTCAGGCCCTGGACAGGATACACCACGCGGATCTTTGTATGGTTAAGCACAATCCCACCTAGTCCATTCTCCACTCTTACTGTCAGGACGTATTTTCCAACTTGTTCATAGGAGTGCGCAAATTCTAGAATTTCTGGCTTGTCTTGAAACGATGTGACCACAGTTCCATCTCCAAAGTCAATATTGTATGACAGAGAAGTCCCTGATGAAGCTAGAATGGAGAGAGTCAGATTGTCACCAACTGCAGCTGCAGTACTGATGTTATAGTCGACATCATCAATCCATTCAAGAACCACCACTGTGTCATTCAAGTCCAATTCACTGACCATATTGGAAAGATGCACTGAAACCTCATACTCCCCAGTTTCTTCAAAAATGTGTGAAACATTCAATTTTCTACCCAACAGGAGTATTTGTGAGGATGAATTTCCATCCCCAAAAGTCCAAGATGCTGTAACGTTTGTTGGTAATGGCATTTCATCCATCAAAGTAATGGCAAATACTGTCGTTTGGTTTGCAACATCGATTATACTTGGGATGATCGTGAGATTGTAGCTGTCTGTAAGGATTGGAGCCTGGATGATTACGGGACCGCCAGATGCTTCGCAGTCACTGATAGGATTAGAAGCTTTCAGGTGAGCTGTGTAAGAGCCTGCATGATGGTAGACATGCTCAAATACCATGAATCCCACTGTGTCAATGTGAGTGGACATGTTTGTCCCATCACCAAACTGGATCAGCAAATTGATGTCAGATCCATCACCAACTGTAGTGAGATACTGCACTGTTGCATTGGTTGCAGCAACCACTGTACTGACATTGACAAAGCATCCAGCAGTATGGGTGTAGAGAGTGACATTGACTGTTAGGTCAACCTGGCTAACCTCATTTGAACAGTTTGCCTGGACTTGATGAGACCCAGGGGTAACATATGTATGCTCAGTGGTGATGTTACCGTCTGATAGAACACTATCCCAAGAATCAATATCGCTACCATCATCGTAATCTACAGAACAGTGAACTGTTTGCGGTATCACTGCTCCCTTCTCTAGGTAGAATACAAACTGAACTGGTTCCCCAGTTACCATGTCAGTGCCACTGGTGTCCATCCTCAATCCATTAATTGGATTGATGATTCTCGCAGACAACTGCCTGACTTGATCCCCAAAGTCATTGTGAGCTCTAACAGTAATGATGTAGTTGCCAGAACTGTTATAACGGTGATGAATAGTGACTGATGAATTTAGTATGTGAATCTCCTGGCTGCCATCTCCAAAATCCAGTTCAAAAACAATGTCGCTTCCGGCTGTGAAGCCAAATTCCAACTCCACATTTTCACCTGTTGCATGCATTGAAGACAGGAGTTGAGCATAGAATCCTTGGATTTCCTGCCCTATCTGAATCGGGACATGTACCATCATGAAATTCACTGCATTGGAGACATTGACAGCTACATCAAAAATACCGTACACTGGAAGTGTGAGGAAGAATATGCCAATAGCATCTACGGGGGATGACGGCACAAAATGTTGCTCAATTTGATTTTGAAAACCAGTGACGGAGAAAACCACCTTTGCTTCTGTCGGCCACAGGGACGTATTTGATTGAGGGTAGATACGTAGCTCAACAGGGTCACTTATGGAGCTAGAGTTGGTTACATCTACACTCAATGCTGGGACAGGGTTGAAAACACCCACTGAGTAGATCTCACTTGAGAAGACGTTAAAGTCATTGGAGACCTCGACTGAAACATTGTAAACCCCTGCCTCTGGAAAGCCTTGTGTGTGAGAGACTACACATGGGGCCATGAAACAACTAAGGACCGTTGAGTTTCCATCAAAGTCAAAGTGAAAATAGACAAGTGTACCCCTGGTAACATTTGCTGTTAGTTGGATCCCTTCATATGGTATTGCAACAGTGCTGTTGATTTGATATGAAATATTGCTTATTGGGACTCCGATGTAGACGTCAGCTCTTGAAGTAACTTGACCACTGATGAGATTAGAAGCACGGACCTCGAAGACATGAGTTCCTTGAATGTTTGTGGAACTTTTTCCTAGGAACCCCTCACAAGAGAAATTCTCTGAGCATGTGAAGTTTGAAAAGGAGGATACACCATCCAGCAGAACTTTAAGATCGGTGATGTTAGTGCCGGAGATTTGGAATGGAATTGTCAGATTCTCACCCTTGATCACTCTAAATGCTGTATTGAGAGTGATGGTGATGCGTTCCTGTATTACTATCGTAGCCGAGGCATTCATAGATCGCAAGTCTGGTCCTTCACAGCTGACTGTGATGAGAAACACACCAGAGCTGTCATATCTATGAGTGAGACCATGACTAGACTGATTACCAAGGATGGGTTCGATCTTGCCATCACCAAAGTCAAGACTACAAGACATATCAGGACTCCCATTGGCTATCACTACCCAGACAGGCACCAGTTCAGACATACCAGCTAGCGGATCTGCATAGATTGCAACAAATGGGACGCCCGACTGCACTGGATTATCTTTAGCTGTTACCCATAATTCCCTCTCTAAATGACTGATCTGATTGGTTGCTATGACAGTCAGGTGATACAAACCAGCCTCGGGGAATAGCAAATGGGTGGATGCTTCAAACGTCTGAACCTCAGCTAAACGGTTGTCTCCAGAGATGGAATACAGGACATCTTCACCTGCGCTGACAAAGAAGCTAATATTGATATTTGTCTGTGTCGTTACTGAGTAATTACCCTCATCTGACTGGACCCCGTCTAAACCGACAGACAAGCCTTGGATAGTCTCTTGAGCGGGAATTTGTTGTAGGAATGATGGCAGGCGATACAAACTCAGGCTATCAGGACTTCCGCAAGTAATTCCAGCGTAACCTGGGCAGACATTACAAGACCCTTCAGGATCTGATTCCATGTATGTATAGTTAGCAACGCAGTAGCATTGCGGACCATCCCCACCGATTGCGGCATATTTGAATCCATTCCCATCACACGCTGCTCTGCAATGCCAAGGCAGTGGGGGATGTGAACCATCCGAGAAATTTGATTGAGTTGGAGGTAGCAGTGAGGTGGACAGAAATCCCAATGACACACAGGTCTCATAGTAGGCATGTAGCACTCCTGTGGAATTCGGAGCAAAAGAAATTTAACATTCAGTTTGTTTGGTAATAGTTATGAAAACTTTATGTAGAAAGTAATGTAATTATTAGGCTGAAAGTCTGAAAGGGACAAGTTTTTTATACAACATAAATTCAGTTCTAATGTTCGAATTTTTAGCAATCCTGTTTTGGGATTTGTTGTGTGTGAACCAATTCCATGGAAAGAATTGATTGGTCGGACATACCAATTTGTCAGGATTTGGAGTTTTGAGGCTGTCTTGTTTTTTGTGTGGATTTTTCCCAGGAATGGTTAAGCATAAAACACGTTGAAATTACGATGATTGGAATCAAACATGATTTTACAAATAAAAGGTTAAGCTCGTATTTGTTTTGTCTTCCAACAGACTTACCTTCTTTTTCAAGATTGTAGACGTCAATGGGGTTCTTCCAAGCATCCCAGATGATAAGTTCTCCAACGTCAGCCACAGCAAACCCGCCACTAGCCAAGTCATTCCTTCCACCGATGTACAAATCTTGGAATGGATCGTCTGAGCAGTTGGTCAATGGATAACGCTGGTATCCTTCATCAGTGTCAGGGTTACCAGCGCAGATACCATCAATGTACACATCCAACCCGACATCGGGTCCCCATGACATCATGACATGTGACTTCACTGACATTCTGGCCTGGTAACGCACTTTCCACAGAGTATCTGCGGTTGCCACAGCAATGTCAAAGACACCGACCCTTGACCCATTGGGGTCAGAGTTCACTGAATCAAGACGAAAGTAGAACCCACAGGATTCTGTTCTCTGAGCTCCGCTAGAGAGGTAGTACACACCCTCATCAGTGACTGACGTATCGTTGGCAAGCAGCCACATAGAGATGCTGAAACCATGGAAACATGAGGTAACATTGCCAGGACAAACATCAGTTCGGATTGCTGCTACTCTGGAGTATGAACCGTTTAGGTGAAGTGGAAATTCAAATGGGTCCAGGTCTATCGCGTTTGACGAGATTAGCTCATAAATCCTGGTGTGGTTCACTAAGAGAAAACAAAGAGAAAAAAAAATTATCAGCTCTCATAAATTGATCAAGGAAATCCTGGTGTTGCCACATATTTAGATAAAAGGGTCTATAATAACTATTTATTTGAATTTGAAACATGACAATGAAATATACATTGTTGTTACGAAAACATATTGCTAAATACTGTAGGCCTGTTGACACTGATTTACACCATTTTTGATGAGATGTAGTGTATAGGCCTGGTAGAATTGCAACTACTTTAGAAGAAACTCAACCCATGAAAATGTTACAGAATACTCATTTGCTGCTTTTAAAACATTTATAGGTGTTGTGTTGGTAACTTTAAAAAGTCCAAAATATTCCAGCCCAAAGAAGGGGACACAAATCATTGATTTTATAAAAAAGAAGAAGATACATTGGTTCTCTCCCTTTTTATTGGAAGTTGCTATTTCCTTAAATATTTCCTCGTAGTTATACACCTTCTAATATATATTTCATGAACGAAACATTGCATACTCTTTAAATAAATCATTTTTTTGTATTGATCTTTTCTGATACAGGACCCCAAAAAACTGACACAGTTATCATGGCAACATATACGTAATGAAGAATGATGTCAGTATAGTATTGATTTAAAAATCCAGTTGTGTTTAAAATCACCCATTCTAGCCAAGAATATTAATTTGAAAGTGTGATGTGTTGTTTGGGGTGAAAGCTGCTTAAGCAACCAGCAGGATAGACTGATATTAAAATTCATTGATATTTGACTGTGTATTGTGAAACCAGTCACCTAATAAGGTCCTGTAATTACTTGATGTAGCAGGTGGTTGGAATGGGCCCAGGCTGCCGATACTAACAATCATGGTTAACCTTGGATCCGTGGGGGGTGAATTATGTGGGTGGGAGACTGGGGGTGGCCCTTAGCTCGGGGAAAAAAAAGGAGGGGGGTGTCCAGCAATCCACTTCCATCGAGGGTTACCAGGCATTTATTGTTATGATGTTTTGTCTCTATTTTCACCAATTGATTTACATTTTTCAAAGGTAATGCTTAGTTCTGAAAAAAACATTGTTTGTGAATATTTTCATGTTCTTCATAGTTCACATCAGTGAGTTTGACAGCTTGATGTTTTTTATTTTGATTTTGAAACTAAAATTTATTATGTTTTTGTTAAATATTACCCTTCTACGTACTTTTGATATAATTGTAAATATTTAATATTATCAGACTAGACTTTCAGGTGTTTTAAACTGTTCATTTTAGAATTCATTACGAAAGAAAGTTAAATGTTGTAACACCCTCCCCCAAAAACGTAACTCCCGTTTGGCCTGTAATTGGTCTTCCAAACAACAGTGTTTCTTTATTTGCTATATCGGAAGATTTCGTACCCAAACAATATACGAATTAGCATCAGCATACTCTACCCCGAAGAATTGAAACTAATTTAATCGTCTACAGATTGAAGAGACACTTTCTTGTGATCAAGACGCTCTGCAAAATTGTATATGGTGCTTAAAGATAAGCATTTTTTAAAATTGTTATACAGGGTGTCCTGAAAATAATGGTGCATGTAAACTCCGCCATTTTTGCCAATTTACAACTGGAATTTTTGCAAATGTTTACACGATCTTCAAGGTTACAGATTTAGCTTGAGAATACCGTTTGTTTAATTAAGATTGTTTTTGTAAATTCAGAGATATGTTTGAATAACCGCAAAGCCAAAAAAACCATTCTATGCCACTTTTAGGAAGCCAGTGCTTCAAAGATCAGACAGTGCCAGTATGGCTTTTTTGATAAGATTATCCCTATGGGTGTAAGACAAACATTCCATTCACACGACAATATAGGGTTTTGTTCTTATGTAGAAACAATTCAATAGTACAGACAGGTTTACTTCTTTAAAACTTCAATGAAAGAGTTCAATTAAATATAAATAAATATTGTACACTCTGCTTAAAAATGTTAAAATCACTAACAGTAAAGTGATTTGGTTTTAGACTAGGACTATACTGATTTGACTGCTTTGCAGAAAGTGGCACAAAATGGGTTTCTTGGCTTTGCCGTTATTCAAACATATCTTTGGATTTACAAAAGGCTGTAAATTAGCAAAAATGGAGGGGTTTACATACGCCATTTTTTTCAGGACACCCTGTAGTAGTTTCAGAGCGCATCCCTCAAATCAACAATCTTTCAAAGACTATATTAATTCCCTCTTTATAAAAGTGGCAGGTGCCGATACACAGACACGCATAGAGAGAGGTTTTGTTTCACAGTAAACACCAGCGAATTAACAAAATTGACATAAATACTGAGTTTCCATGGAGACATTTCCCCTTGAGTGTTTCTCTCTTGACTCGGTTCTCCTCTGCAAATATGCCTCTCTCTCCATCCATGTTACCCTCCACAACACCTGTCCAAACCCCCTAACGTTAGTTCCACTGATTTTCATTTCTAGAAATGATGTTGAACACGCCATGAGTGTTTGGACTGAATTGACTGCATATAAGTGGTACATCGAGAACTTTGGCAAATATTATGTGGAAACAGCTGTAAATGCTTCTCTTAAAGGGCAAGGATTGTGAGAAATATAGACATTATTTTGTAGAATTAAAGAAGAAAAAAAAAGTTTGTGAAAGAGCTGTGTCATTGGGTATATATTTAACCATGTGTTTCCTGAAATTTATTGGTAGAATCAGTTAATAACCATCCATGGGACTACAGCTGTTAGTAATAATAAGTTTTGTATTAAAGAAAAATGCGATATAAGGAATAACAAACCTGAAGGAAAAAACTTTTTTTCCTTCAGCTGTACAAATAAGCCTGGAGTAGATATGAAAAGGAAGTCCTCAATCAAAAAGAAAAGCAAAAACCGATTGAATTTTGTTATGTGACGTTAAAAACAAATGTTTTAAAGTTGCTCTCCTGTTCTTAAATAAAGTTGAGGTTTTTTTTTAATCCAAACAACTTTTTAATTTGCAGTTTTCTTTTAACGAACAAAAAGCTACCTTTTTCTGTTTTGGGTGTCTGCTTCCCCCCCCCCCCCCCCCCCGAAGTGTTTTATTATTATTTATTTTTTTGCACATACTTAACTTATCGCCCTTAACTCTCAAAAAGTTCCGTCCGCGATATTGTAGTGCCGCAAACAATCGAAATTTGCAAAGTATTTTATATCCTAAATTGAAAACCTGTATTGTTAGAAACATATTACATACTGTAAGTAGAAAAATAATTCTGTGGTTTAAAACTCGACAATAGCATGGGGTACGGAGATCAAGAGCAGCTTTAAAAAACGTCTGTTCGTTTCTTTGTTTTGGGCGCCACAATTTAGATCTGCGCTTTAAAAGAAGAGCGACCCAATCGAACTGATTTTGTTAATTAGGCCGGTTTCGACCGTTTTATCTTCAATACGTGTCTTACCGGAGGGTAGTTTATTTCTACAAGTAGCATTCCCAACTTCTGCATCGCTTTCAGGATCATCGGGTGATGTTACCCCCTCGGTCGAGCTGCCCTGCACCGTTCCCATTCCGCCCCCTCGTCTCCTGCCATTCCTACGTCGATATCTTCCCCGATCTGCTGTAGCGAGTAGAAGCAAAATAAACCACACGTTCAGATGCGCCATGATTGCGCGCCAACTGAAAAATGACAAGCATTTGCTCCGGGTTATCATATCCTTGATTTTTTTTCTTTTCTTTAACAATTTCTGTTGGCAGTGTCAAGACGTGCGCATTGTTTTATCGACCGTCTTCATCAATATTGTTTTACAGTGTGTGCTGGCGTGATTGATGACATACTGTGTAATTGACCGTCTCATGTTTATTCATCACGTCCTGACTTTTAACCAATAGGAATGCGGTTAGTAACAAACGTGACTTTATTAGCGGTAAGGTGACGCGTGAGTGGTGGGAATATAACCAATCAGGGAAAGGAAGTGACCTTGGGGTGTGTCAACCAATGATCCGTGTGTTGGGCAATCAATTACACCTGTTCCTGCTGCACTTTGTGGAAATCTGACAACAAGCAAATAAGTGAATTCATAACATAATCCAATTAACTGAAATTGCGTAACCTTTTCTATTTCTTTTTCAATAAAAATGAGCGATTTTTTCCAGGGATTTTTTAAGGGTTGTTGCAAAATGCAGTATTTAAAATGAATATTATTATCCAAATATTGCACCGGAGTACCGGTAACAAAAATAAGATAGGGTAATCTGCTCAATTTGTTCGTTTCAGTTCTGTTCAAATTACTTAGAACGACAGAATAGGAAAACGCGACATTATGAATTATGAATAAGCAGCAGATGGGAAATCACAAAAACTAAGACGTGAATAAAGTCTTAAAAAGGAATTTGTTGCAGGTGAGCACTCACATAATTTTCTTTTGGGCGGGCAAATTACCGTTTGTTTATATTTGGAAAACTGCTGAAAAGCAAACCCTATTTTTGGGTGCCTGGGATCTTTGGTCAACACCGGTACGGTGCGCGGGAGAGCTGATTAATGCACTTGTTGACCTTTGACCTGGGTCAAAGGTAACGATTGACAAGACAGCAAAACATTGAGCTGTGCCAATGTCAAATTGATGTCTGAGCTGCTAGCTGCGCTGCCATTTATTCCTCCATGTGCTGCTTAGTTGTTTTCTAAAAGGTAATGCTCTAATTAGCTGGAAGGAGTAAAGGAAAGAATGTTGCAACCTGACGCCACAGTCACTGCAAAAAATAAGGCATGAATCTTGGACTGAGAAACATTTCCAATTTTAATTTTATGTTGGACTTAAATCTTGACTCTCCATAGACTTTGTACACAACCGCTGAAGTGGCGCACGTCAGGCCGGTTGCAGCATTCTTTCCGGCGTAAAGTATGCAGACAACATTACGGGAAAATCCTGACAATTTCCTTGTTGTAGTAGCACCATACATGCGAATGTCGGACACTTCGCCCCATTTCCACGTCGCCCCATGTCACTTCGCCCCTAACCACTTCGCCCCATCCCCACTTCGCCCCATTCCCACATCGCCCCATACCCACTTCGCCCCATTCCCACTTCGCCCCATTTCCGCTTCGCCCCATCCCCACTTCGCCCCATCCCCACTTCGCCCCAACCGTTAAATGTAAAAAAAAAAATCTCATCTATTTTTTTGGCTTAAAAAAAAACAATTTCAACAGATTCACTAATTGCTAACCAACGAAAAGAATTAGCCCATCACCAAATGAACAATTCATAACCAACCTCTCAAGCTAGGCTCTCCCTAGCCCGACTGCGTCTGGCCGTACAGTACTATCGCAAGCTCTGTAGTACGGCCAGACGCCCGATGCTTCCACAGAGACTGAATTTTTTTGGCCGCCGATGTAGCGATTTTGCTACATCTTTCGATCGCGATTATCTTTTCATCCAGGACACAAATTTCCAAAGTTAAGGTTCGTAGTCGTAGAGCAACTCATACCTTTTCGAAAAAACGTTCTTTGGTCTCAATATTTTCATCCATCTGGCCACAAGACGGATTTCAGTCATCAGATTCCACAAATATCGTCCCCCATGCGATCCCCCATGCGATTTCAAAATGGCGGCCGCGCTGTAATGTATGCATTATGCGAGCTCGCTTGGGCAAGATAATGAATATGCATTATTTAGTTCATGACCTCGTGTTTGTATGGCCAGCCGCGCTGAGTGTCTGGCAAACGTCATAAACTATGATGCATATTCATTATCTTGCCCAAGCGCGCTCGCATAATGCATACATTACAGCGCGGCCGCCATTTTGAAATCGCATGGGGGATCGCATGGGGGACGATATTTGTGGAATCTGATGACTGAAATTCGTCTTGTGGCCAGATGGATGAAAATATTGAGACCAAAGAACGTTTTTTCGAAAAGGTATGAGTTGCTCTACGCCTACGAACCTTAACTTTGGAAATTTGTGTCCTGGATGAAAAGATAATCGCGATCGAAAGATGTAGCAAAATCGCTACATCGGCGGCCAAAAAAATTCAGTCTCTGTGGAAGCATCGGGCGTCTGGCCGTACTACAGAGCTTGCGATAGTACTGTACGGCCAGACGCAGTCGGGCTAGGCTCTCCCCTACCGAGAAAAAAGCTTGAAGTAAAAGATCCAACTTTGTTCCCAACCCGGCTATACCAACCCGTCTCCCACTTATCTGAGAACGACAATACCTTTGACATCCTAATTTCACTCTTGGAGGAACCAATCTCATCTAAATGAAGTTGTAAGTGACACATATCAGACAAATTTTGACGGAACATTTTCCTCAAGGCAGTGAGTTCCTTTTAACTCACTGACCCATACCTACGGATTCTTTTGAATCCAGCGGCTGATGATTTTATTCACAAGCCAATAGGAGAGGCGTCTCTGAATGGGATCTCTCATCTGTCTCTAGCACCACATCAGAGAGTTTGTATTTTTCCTGAATTTCTAGAATTGGGAGCATTTATTAACTGGGGTCTTTGGCAGTTTATTTTGTCTGCACCCCTAGACTAGCCTTCACCTTTTTCATACTACTGGGGCGAAGTGGGGATGGGGCGAAGTGGGGATGGGGCGAAGCGGGGATGGGGCGAAGTGGGGATGGGGCGAAGCGGAGATGGGGCGATGTGGGGATGGGGCGAAGTGGGGATGGGGCGAAGTGGTTAGGGGCGAAGTGACATGGGGCGACGTGGAAATGGGGCGAAGCGTCCGACACCCATACATGCCATATATGATTCTGATAGTGATATTCATTCATGTTCTTGCTGACCGCGTGCCAATTCCAGAACTGTACTTCAGTGGTTGTGTACGAAGGAAAGATTTCCATATACGAAGTTCACTCAACACCCTGTGTACAAACCCTATGAGATTGGACTGAAAAATTCGAAGTGTTTTCTAAGAAAATGCTTGTATTTTCTCACTGCTCAAATTGACTTTGATGACATGAAATTGCTATCTGGGGGCCTGTTAGTCAATACAGAGGAAAATTAGTGAACTTTGTACATGGAAATCTTTCCGTGTACGAAGTCTATGGAGAGTCAAAAAAAAAAATTCTAAGTATTTCCTATCAAAATTGGTACTCGTATCAAAATAAGCCTTTAAAGACGTAGTAGGCTGGTTCCTACCCGTCCAACAATCAGTATCTTTTATTAACATTTTCAAACAGGCATAATGCATAGACGGATTGGGACAAGTTAGCCCATGTAGACGTTATAATTAAGTGTTGTATAAAGTTGTCCCTCCGGTTGTTGGGACTATAAACCCCCGCTACAAACTGATGTCGCCCAGTGAAAATGATGCATAATGTACCGATAATGTCAGACCCGGAGTCTGTCTGCTCGCAAAGCCGATCTGTTTGTGCCCCAAAACAAAAACAAAAAATTTTTATTCAGAGGGTTGCAGACTAGACATACAAAAAAGAAAAAAACGCAATTGTTTTTGTTGGAATAAATAATTAAAAACTTAAAAACCTACTTTTGATTAACATCACCCCAACGCAAAATTCCATCTTATGAATAGTTGCATGTGGTACCCGCTGCTGCATGTACATTAGATTTGAACCAGCCAACCAATCCCGTAAGCTCGGTGGTCAAGTTGTAAGACATCTGCACTAGAAAGCAGGACTGAGGTCGTGGGTTCGAGTCCCACCCGAGTGATTTTTTCAGCTTTCCTCGGGAGTTAACACACTGAGTATACAGTGTTTATACGTCGGTGAAGGGCAAACCTAACATTGATTTACATCACCCCGACGCAGAATTCCATCTTATGAATAGTTAAAATTTATTAATAGGAAAACAAATAAATTTGTTGAAAGCATAGGAAATGCAACTAAAAAAATGAAATATAATCACTGTCGTTATAATTGACACTACCGTCCGAGAATAATCGAGAATGATCACTTGATGAGTAACATTATGTTTGGTAATGACAAAACTGAAACAGATTTGGACAGATAAATGGTCAGCTCTGTGAGCTGTTTGGAAACTCATGTAAAATAGGTTTTATTTGACCGCCCGTTGGATGTATTTGCTAGCAATGCTCACTTTTTTGTAATCTGACATTTTGGTTGAATTTATTTGGACAGGTGTGGACATTCTGATAGCTCGACTGCTTCTCCTGCTGCTCATCCTGATCATGACTATGCTGCACCCACAAGTGATCAGTCACAGGCTGCTGTGCTTCACATCCGACAATTGGCAGCTGAGAATCAACAGCTACGAGCTCTGAGGTTTGACACATCCAGGTTCTCCAAAGATCCTGAAATGATGGAGTTCTACACTAGCTTTGATACTTATGAGCAATTCATGAACACGTTCCAGGCCTTACAACCCAGAATGCTAAGGACAGGTGCCTGGGTTGCCATTAAAGACCCAATGGAGACTGAAAACCTTGAACCAATTGACCAGTTCTTCCTGTTCTTATGCCGTTGTTGGGCTGGACTCTTGGAGCAGGATTTAGCGGTGCGATTTGGGAACAGTCTTGCTGCTGTGAATGGAATCCTGACCATCTGGACCAGCTGTCTGCACTGCATTCTGGCTTCGCTCCCTATTTGGCCATCCAGGTGCAACGAGGCACATACCATAATTAAATGAGCTAGTGGGATGTTTCACAAAACATTTGGTAGAAGTGCTGAACAAAATCATTGGA